AGGGAAAGAGCTCTGACCGACTGGAGTCTCGGTGCTACTGCTGTGTGAGCAAGTGCTGGAATTCTCTATGCCTCAGTTTTCACATCTGTCCAGCTAGAGAAATAACCCCTCCCTTGGTGGCCAGCATGAGGATTCTGGGAGCCAATGAAAGAAGCACAGCGCTCTGAACCACAGAAACATCCTCCTTCCACGTGTGTGTAAATATGGCTCCTCCTCCAGCCACACCTGCCTCCTCCATGGGGATCCTTAGCTTGTTCTGTCTCTTACCAGGTGTGTGTGCATTTCCACTGCCCTTCCCTCTGCCTCTGTGTCCTTTACAAGTTAACTCTGGTATCACCTCTTCTAGGACACCTTGCTGAGCCCCGCCCCGCTCCTGCAGGCTGTTAGGGGTCTCTTTGGGCAAGGACAGCCCCAGGTCTTCCTGCCTGTCCTCAGGGGCCTCACAGTCACAGGGGAGTATCAGAGGAGGTCAAAACAGCATGAGGCAGGGATTGGAGATCTATCTCCCCTCCTTGAGGATGGCACAGAGTGCTGTGCCTGGCTGATTCCCTGCCCCTCACAGGTGGGGTTGAGGGTGCTCAATAAAGCTTTCGGAACCCATCTATCTGAGGCGTGACCTCATGTAATTGCTCAGCAAGATTCCTAGGTGCTGACACAGCAGAGAACACTTAACAACATAACATCTGATGCCTGCTGCTATTATGCCATTTTACAGATGGGAAAAGCAAGGCACAGAAAGGATAAGCAGCGACCAGAACAGAATAGGAAGCCAGGCTGTTGAGTTCCAAGGTCCACAGCCTTGACCACACACCACACCACTCTACCAGTGGCCTGCACCCCTGTCTGGCTCATGTCTGTGTCCTAGTACCCGCGGGGACCTGTACTGGAGCAAAAAGGAAAGAGGGGTTAGGAGAAAGGGAGCGGGTATCCCAGCTTGCAGAATTTAAGGTCTAAGCAGGACTCTGGCATTCATGGCCTCTCAGATCCGGCTTCCCTGTTCCCCAAACTCCCGCAGGGAGCGGCTGAAGAGCCCAGCAGCGAGAGTTACCAGGTCAGGGCGTCCCAAGGCCACGCAGGGAGCCGGTGGAAGAGGGCTTGGGATCCGGGGACCGTGTCACCTCGGCCCGGCAACCCCCACGTTCCCCGGCTCCCCCTGCCCCAGGCAGCAAGCAAAAGCCTGACCTGACGCCCCCGCCGCTCCCCCTCCAGCTCT